GGAAGGGCCCGCATCGCTGCGCCGCGCAGGGCGCCCGGCCGCCTGCTGCCCCGAGCCCCCGGGCAGCCAGAGGGCTTGGCAGCTTCAGCCAGGCCCCTGCTCGCCCCCTGCGGCGCGTCCAGCCCCAAACACGGCGGAGGCCGCCGGGCCTGGGAGCCGAGGCTGCAGTGGAGTCCGTGCCCAGGGGTGACCCAGAGCTGGGACACCGTGCTGCAGGAAGCCAAGGCTCAGACCTTGCACCGGGTGGGAAGCCACAGGCCGTGGGGCAGCCGGGCCCCCCGCAGCGTTCCTGCCCCACTCCCACAGGAGGGACAGTGCGGACGGCCGGGGGGAGGCAGCTCTGGGCACCTACCCGCCCCTCAGCTGCCGTGCCCCAGGGCTGGGAGCCAGGGGAGGTCGGGGAGGCCCCAGGAACCTCTTACAAGGGGATGGGCAACTGGAGAAAATGAACTGCTGGCAGGCCCACGGGCCCTGGGAAAGGGTGGCGTTTCCCTGTCCCACAGGGGCGCAACTGAGCGGAGACCAAACAGCTCAGGCCACAGGAACCACCCGTACAGCAGGCAGTCTCAACGGGGCCAGGCTCAAACTTCAGAGAGCAGAGGGACCGAGCAGAGAGCTCGCTCTGAGTATTTCCGACGCAGAGCCGTGCCTGCACGGAAGCTGGCATCGGGCTTTGAGGCAGGAGTCTCAGGTCTCTGGCTCAGGCCCTGGGACTACATGAAAACCCCTCCCTTCCCTCCAGCTCCTGGGCTACTTGGGAGCCCTCCCCCGCTGGCAGTGCCACTGCTGCGCTTCCTGGTACTGTGTTCCCTGCATTTCTGGAGGGTGGAAGGGACTGGTGCCCCCCAGCCTGGCACAACGTGAAGGGCTGAGACCGTGGGACAAGGAGCAGGAGAGCTTTGCATCTGAATGGTTCCAGGTGGCATCTCCCCCCCACGTGGCTTGAGGGGAAGGCGGTGCTGTTGCAGATCGCTTTGTCCACCTGCCCAGGAAGTGATGCACTGATCTCAGCCGGGGCCTGCCCGTTTGTGTGCAGGGCAGGTAAGACACCAGCTGTCAGAGACAAGCCAGAAGTCACAGAGTCTTCTTAGATGGGCACCAGGTAGTGTCAGGATAGAGGAGGCAGTGAACAGATCTGAATCTGTGAAGAGGGAGATGGAGGACGTGAGATGGGAGCGGGTCTGTGCGCAGGCATCCCTGTAGGAGCGTAGTGGCTACACGTGAGCCAGTAGGAGACCCTGCTTTAGCACACGCCTGATCTCAGTGTGTCCAGTGAGCCCGGACGAGGCAGGGGAGCTTGTTCAGAAGCAGACTCACCGCGTTGGATCCTGCTGCAGGCCAAACACTCCTCCCATGCTCACAACATTGTGCTTGTTCTCGGGGCCGCCGTAACTCAGGGTGACCTGGAAGCGCAGGCAAGTTTGCTCAGGACATGCAGGACAGCAGTGACAGGGGGGCAGGCAGCAAAGAGGCCTGACAGGGGAACAGGGCAAAGGCTACAAGGAGCATCTTCTCGCTTCCAAGCCCAAGAGTTCAGTTCTGCAACAGTCTTTAGAGCAGCAAGATGAAGGGATTGGCTCTTGCAGCTCGACTCGGGGGCAAGGCTGGATTTAATCACTGGCATCCCAGCAACACTGGAGAGATTCTGCCAGGCATGGACGTGGCCCTGGCAGCGCACTGGCACTGCCCACTGAGGCTGTAGGGATGGTCTCAGCTAGCACTGCGCCAGGGAACCATGAGCTTGGCCCCACCTCAGCTCCACCTGTCACCTGCAGACCACGGGACCGCAACAGTGATTTCAAGCCAGCACGGGGGTTTGGATTCCCTCAACAGAGGCTGCTGCACGTCTTGACCTGCGACAACCAGCAGATGCTGGGACCCAGGAGCAGAACTCAGAAAGGATAAAGAAGGGCCTGGGGGCACGAAGCCCAAAGAGCAGCATTTCCCTGCTCAGGTGGGCAGCAGCTGTCTGGCTGGGGACTGCACTGAGCAAAGCCTGAGGCTTGTCCCTACCTGCTGCAGCACTGCCTCGCCTTGCAGCCTCTGCAGATTCTCCAGGTGGGAGTGGAACAGGGGGCTGTGCAGCAGCCTCACGTCCAGCAGCCCCTCAATGATGTAGCCGATGGTGCAGTCGTCGGGCAGACGGACCCTCTCCGCAGTGCTGATGAAGTTGCCCAAGCTATTGAACAAAGCAGGGGAGACTGAGGATCTAATGCACCCTGCACCCTCCCAAGCCCACAGCCCGCTGCTGAACCATGTTTACCTAGCCCAGGGGCTCATCTTCAGGGCCAGGCCCCGGCTGATGCAGAACCCTGCCCCGCCAGTGGCAAACCAGAACTTCACGGTTGTCTGGCAAGCAGCAAGAGCAACAAGAGACACTTGTAAGCGATGCCCAACTTCTCCCACCTGCCTGGGCCAGGAGGAGGATCTGCTGCTCTGCAGCACGAGGGGGCTCAGGCCAGCTCTGATCCTTCCAGCTTTTTGTGGACACTCTCCCCTTGGGCAAACACCACTTCCCTGAACCTGCAAAGTCCAAGTGAAACTGGGAGCAGTGGGGAGAGAATGGGAGTCCTGGTGCAGAGCAGAGCAGGCCCTGCTCCACCTACGGCCTACCCTGCCCACATCTCACTCCGTTTTGGATGTGGCTCTGGGGATCCTGGCAAAGCTGATCAGGCAGGAGCCTTGGTTTGCTAGCCTGGCTGTCTGCGTGGGGCAGCCAGGGCCCTGGCGTGCAGGATGCACCTTCAGCATGGCAGCGCGCGAGCAGGGCAGCTGTCCTCTACGAGGGGAAGGCTCCAGGAAGGGGAGTGCACTAGTACAGGGGCAGGCAGCCCCCGGCACGAGTGCCAGAGCATGGCATGTGAAGGCATTTTACTTGGCACACGTGGCTCGGGGCTGGCAGAGAGGAAGGGGCTGGGGCTCCCCTGCCACAACGAGGATTGGCGCCCTTGCGGCTCCCCTGCCATCTGCTCTGGCACGCAACCATCTTACAAGTTGAGGCTGTGGGTGTTTTTGGCACTTGGTCCAGAAACATTGCTGACCCCTGTGCTAGTAGGTAGCCGACCCATCTGGAGGGCTTGTGCATGGGATCGCACGAGCTGCCCTGGGTCTCAGTCAGGGCGCAGGGGCTCAGCCACGTGCGTACGCAATGTGCTTACTGATCCATCACTCCGTGCGTGGTCTGCTGCCTCCATGGGGTGGTCCAGGCTTGGCCTTCCCACATAGACATCTTGGCTGTGCGAGAAGGCAGAAAGGAGGCGCAGGAGCGCCCGGGGATTCACGTAGTTGTCGTCATCGACGTGGCAAAACCACCTGGTGAACGGCAGGGGAAACGGCCGGTCAGCCAAGGCAGCGAGGAGGGGAGCGCAGGGCTCCACACATCCCCCGAGATGGTCCTGGGGTCCCAGCAGAGGGGGAGAGGCCGCCGCCGCCTTCCACACGTACTTCTGCCCAGACTCCAGGAACTTGTCATACTCCACGGACATCTTGCAGCACAGGGCCTGGCGCGTGTGCACGGCGGAGCAGTTGGTGTTGATCACGCGATCGCCTGGCGCAGAGGGAGGAACGCGTGCGATGGGGCCGCCGTGCAGAGCGGGCGCTCACCCTGGGAGCTTGTCCACGATGCACGGGGACGGCAAACCCAGGGAGAGTGCCCCGGGCACGCGGCCACAGCGCACAGGAAGGAGCGGCCAACGCTGGGGAGCAGGACAAGCGTCTGCACGGCGCCCGAGGACTCGAGCGGGCTGCAAGCGAGTGTGAGGGCTGGCGCAACGGCTGCTCGCTCCCGCTTCTAGCCCCCGCGGAGGAGCTGCCGCAGGCAGGGCAGCCCCGAGGTGCTGCCCGACGGGGGCGCGGAGGCGACAGCGCTCACCTGCTCGCAGGCGCAGCTCGTGGTCCTCCCAGTCCGTGAAGATGAACGTCTGCGAGAGACAAAGACAGCGGGGACTTGCTGCTTCCCTGCCCGCGGCTCGGGGGCCCGGGCCCGGGGCCGGGGCCGGGCGGGGCCGGGGGCGCTGACCTGGGCGCGGGCGCGGGAGAT